ACGGTTAATTAATGCCATTACATTATTTGAATCAATTTCTAATAATTTATTTAAATCTGCAAGTGATTCTTCATATTTGCTCATCTGTCGATAAGCCGCTCCACGAATAAGTAAAAACATTGAATCATTTGTAATTTTTAATAACTGATTTAAATCGACAAGTGATTCATTATACTTTCCTATCTCAAAATAATGTATAGAGCGTTCCTCTAATGCTTCTACATTATTTGGTTCAATTTCTAATAGCGCATTTAAATCTACAAGTGCCTTCTCATTACCCATATTTTGGTAAATTAATGCACGATTATGTAACGCCGTTGTGTTATTTGGATTAATTTCTAATAATTTATTTAAATCTGTAAGTGATTCTTCATATAGACCTATCTTTTGATAAGCTAATCCACGAATTCCTAATGTAGCTGGATTGTTTGGTTTAATTCGTAGCGATTTATTTAAGTCAGCAAGTGATTCTTTGTATTTTCCTATCAAATAATAGATTAATCCACGATCACTTAATGCTGTTGAATTATTTGGTCCGGTATCTAGCAACTTGTTTAAATCTGTAAGCAAATTTTTATATCCACTCATATTGTCAATATATTATCGTTAACTAGAATATTAGTTGGTTGGCTATTTATTTCTTTTAGGTTTATAAATCTTGGCATGTTAAGATATAGATCTTTAAATCTTAACTCATGTAATTACTTATTATACTTTTTAAATCGAAAAGTATTTTATCAAATTTAGTTCTCGGAATTTCAATGATTACACAAGTTAAGTGTATCATCCTCTTATTATGTAGTTATGAGTGAATACATATTTTGTGAGTTCGTAATACATTTGTAGGACATTTGCCGAACCAAATATTAAATTGGTGTACTGAAAATCTATTAGTGGCTTTTCAGAAATTGTAACTTTTTTTAAATAAGAGAAACTAAGGATCCATGTTCGTAGTGGGCCGTATAGTTAAAATAAAACTTTTTATGCACATTTTATTGCTCGAAAGAGTGTTTTAAACAGTACAAGTGACTATTGTGCAATTACTCCATTGCTGATGCGATAAAATATCCTTGTGTTATTGACTTCTAATATAAAAAACCTTCGGTAAAAAAGACTAAGTAAACCCTCAAAATTAAAACGATAAACCGAATTTGCACGATATAAGAAAGGCTATTAATAAAATCTTTGTAAAATTTTTATTATGAACTCTTTCTTATAACAAGAGTTAACAGTTTCGTTATATAAATCAGAAAGTACTGTATAGTTGTACTGTACAATGTCAATAAGTATTTGTGATCCTGAATTTGTACGTACGCTTATTTTCTACAATGCGAAATTACCGTATAGTTCCGAAAATAAGCACCCTTTTTTTGTTATAGCAGGTGCTTATTTTCGGATATAAATTTAAAAAATTAATAATTTATGATTTTAGTGCTAAGTAAACCTGCCTCCGGCTCTAAATAAAGTTATTCTCCTGGTCAGAACGATTCTAACGGTGGCAGGATCATCAATGACCAATTTTGATGATCCTGCCACAGTTAGAATCGTTCTGACCTAGAGAATTGCTTTACTTAGAGCCGGAAGCAGGTTTACGTAGTACAAAAATTCTATACAATTATACTTAAGGGATGTTTATTTTTTCAAAGCTATAAATGACTTTTATGATTTTTTTTGTTAGTAAACTCAAAAAGTACTTTAAACCGTATAAATAAGATACCCGGGCAATTGATTTACATCAGCCAATAGGACGAGAGTCCTTCTATAAACCAGTGTCCACTATGAATTCAAACTTATGTATAATTCTGCTGTAATACAGTATCGTACATACGTGTGTACGTAATTTACAGATTTATGCATACTTACGATAAATTTTGCAAAATTATTGATTACAGTATCGCCTGATTAGAAATTTTCTTTTTTTTTTTAATCATCTTTATTCAATTCTACTCTTGCCCACTAAATTCTATCTCTGCAACCATAAAATACACTATAAAATTAAATGAAAATATTATTTGAGTAGCATAGTTATACATAAAATAAAACAATAGAATTAATGCCTATACCATATAAGATATTTATCTTTGACGTTCACTACTAGAGTCAAAATGAATTTAAGCATAAAAATTCCTATCCTTATTATATTTTTAATTTTCATGATTCTTGTTACTCCATCTTATTCTAATAATAAAGATAAATCATCTGGCTTTGTTGAATGCCCTGGCACCTTTCAAATTAAAATTACTCACTTTTCTCATAGTCCAAATCCGATTATTTCAAATCATCCCATAGAATTTGAAATTGGTGGTATTTCTACAATTACTATAGAAAATGGTACTCATTATAGCTCCATGACATTTTGGAAAGATGAGCCTATGGGTTTTACTGTACAAGATTTCTGTAAAGATTGGGTTGAACCAAATGGTGGCCGGTGTCCTGTTGCACCTGGAGAATTTTATTATAAAGGTCGTTTTTTTGAAACAGTAGTACAAGATGAATATGATCCTAAAAATGTGACTCTAACTAAATTTTTCAGAAATATTAGTATGTATACTTTTTGAATTTGTAATCTGATTGTAACTTTTGCGAAATTCATTTAATTTTTTTTTTTCACCACAATTAATCATCAAATTTTTTATTTAAAGTTGCTAGGCCTGATGGGCATATCTACTCGTGTATTGAAGGATATTATACAAAAATTTATCAGTAAATTATTTGTTATTGTAAATAGGGTTTTATAAAAGTTTGTTGCATGATATTATGTAACAACCCGTGCAATAATTTATAATTATTGTAATTCAAATAATTGTTAATAGCTTGTTATTTGAAAGCATTTATTTCAAGATAAGGTTTAATCAAATTGTTTTGATAAACTGATGACTTTAATTTATGAAACTCTTATGAAATTAACAAAATATTAAAGGCTATTTTAAAGTTATATTTTTTAATAACTCAAGCTATTTTCACATTTTTAGAAGCAATTTTTTGTTGAATTTTTAAAATAAATAACACAGTTACAAAATTCATTGATTTATGTACAGTAGCTATTAATTGCATTTATATGATAATTTTTCTTTTTCGGAATAAATTCATTTATGCAGTGACGTTTATTTTATGTTGGCTATAATTTAAGCTTATAAAATAAGTTGCTGTGCAATGTTGTAGTGCAACGATGAATGTTGCGTTACTTAATCGTATTAAACTTAAAAATATTATTTGATATTATGTACTATTATGGTTAACTAAATAGTGTTATTAATTATATGTTGTAATTATAAATTTATAAAATTAAATCTAGCATTGGAACATTAAGGATTGGAACCTTTAACCGTGTAAAAATTATCATATTGAGAACGGTAATAAAACACGGTTAAATAAACTATCTATATTTTTATTCGTCAACGTTGTATAATTTATCTTTATATCTATAAAACAAATATATTTGTTTGCTTAATATAAAAACACATCTTATTAGTATTATATATAGCATAATTTTTTGTTAGCTTAAGAGCTTAGTAACTTCCAAATGAACCTTAACATTAATAATTTCAAATATAGTTTTCCAATCTTGAGGGATATCACAAATGCCGCCTTGAATATAACATGAAGCATTAGAATTATTTCCTTCAATCATTATTTCTGTGCAGGTAGAATTATCATTTTCATAAGCATTAGCTGAAATTAGTGTCTTTCGAAGGCAAACCATTGTATAGCCTATCCTAATTAGTGTCAATATCTGAAAAAGCATTAGGCTATATTAATTAATATGAATTTTCACATTTAAAGTTCTGTAAGCATGACATTGTTAAAAAAAAAAAATAAAGAACCAAGAACAGGTAACAGGACTATTTTTAATAGTACTGTGCCTATACATGCTGCACAAACTACAAATCTTTAAAATCCCAAACCGAACAAACCCTATTTGGGTTGTCATAATTCCAAACTCTATCACAAATCCCAAATTCCATCCCAAATCCCAAATCTCATCCCAAATCCCAGGTTTTCGAATCTAAACTCAATCCAAATTTTATGCTAGGATGTACCTTGCGCAAGAAAAACCTAGTGTATATTTAACATATTGATATTTCATAGTTATATCATATAATATCGTGCAAGTTATTTAAAATAAATTATGTGAAATCCCATTGCAGATGAGGTAGAATCGTTATATCGTGCAAGATATGTATATATAGTACGTATAAGTTCTTAATATATCATTATCAGAATAATGATAATGAGATTTGAGATTTGGAACATGGTGGGATTTGGTAATTTGGTATGGAGTTTGGGATTTGGTAATTTGGGATTTGGGATTTGGGATTGGGATTGTCCGGTTTTACCTTTCCACATGAGATTTTAGACCTGATCGGACAATCCTATTTATCAGGTTTGTCCATGGACAAATCCCAAATCCCAAAAGTTTGTCCGGCAAGTATGGCATTTGCAGAACCCTATTCGGTCATCATGATTAATGTTAAAGTTAATCGAATTCAAATAAAAAATATATGATAAACATATAATTTTATTAATTCATATGTATAAATCAAAATAATCGTTGTGTGCAGTCTATAATCTCGACATCCATAATCATTCAGATATTCGAATTTAGAACTTAAAAGTTCATATCTTGACATTTCTAAATCTAAATCTCAACAATACTAAATCCAAATCTCAAATCTAAAATCCTAACAATAATTATTATCATAATTTATTATCATGCTAATTATTAGAATTTTTAATAGCTTATACGGAAAATTTCAGCATGAGTGCCACATTAATTTTACCAGAAATTATGATAATAAATTTTCTTTTGTATAAGAATCATGACTTTGAATATTATAACGAATATATAATTTAAAGCACTAAACATAATTTAGATGAAACATAGTATATATGGCATCTGCTCTAAATTAATTGAATATTTATTAAGGTGTCATCTATAGTATCTTTTATTCCTATGTGGTTAATGTCATACGATCTCTTTCTATCATTACCGAACTTGTCTAGAGACTTATCAAATTGGAAGGTGTATCGTCATTATTGGGAACAGAATCATCATTTTGAGGAGGAGTAACATTGTTATTGGGAGAAGTGTCATTATCATCAGGAGAATCATCATTATTGGGAGAAGTGTCATTATCATCAGGAGAATCATCACTATTATGAAGATATAATTATCTGGAGGAAAATCATTGTTGGGAAAAAATTTTCATTTTTAGGAGGAGTAACATTATTATTATTGAGAGAAGTGTCACCATTCCAGGAATATAATCATCATTGCTAGAGAATTATTTTAGGAGAAGCATTATTTTCTGCAGAAGGATCATTCTTTTCTGAAAAAGAATTATTATTTTCTGAAGAAGAATCATTATGGCGTTTTGCAAAGGTGTGACCCTGTAATTTCATGATGATGGCGGAAAAATTTCCGAGATTTTAATTCCCTATTGATCATAATTTTCGATCAATAACGTCTATAATTTATTCGGAATCTTTAAAATTCTCTAAGAATCGAAAAATCTACCAGAATCGATCGATTTTACATGGCATTATGACCTGCAGAGGTCACAACATTTTGCAAACCGCTATAATGTTAGCAATCATCATTACCGGAAGAAATCGTTATTTTCAGGAGATGAATTGTTGGAAGGAGAATCATTGCTTTTTGAAGAATCATAATTGTTAGAAGGGTAATCATTATTTTCAGGAGAAAATCTTTATTATCAGAGAGAGAATTATTGGAAGGAAAATCATCACATTCTGAAGAATCATTATCATTGCATTAGGAGGAGAATCATTATCGCTAGGCAAAGAATCTGCGGCATCACGTTTCTACTAAGCTACATATGTACTATCAGGAGAGTAAATAGAGTGATCACCATGTTCATACCATAAGTGAGCTACAAGAATATATTCAAGAGAATAAACAGGTTATGCATCAGAAGAGTTACTTCTTAGGTATAGCAGAGTTACAAATGATAAGAATATTAAGTAACTAATAGCGTTGGTGCAAATTGCTAATTAACCCTTTTCATGCGCGTCATATATTAGAAGACAAATATTCGATTAAATTACATTCTTGTTTATATTCTGTCAATTACATTAATAAATTTATAAAGCCTTAAATATGCTAATTGTTTGACAATATCAATTTTAAAGAATCAAAATTCTTAATCTATCTATCTATAATGTTTTTAAAAAAGCTATATGTTTTTAAAGCTATTGAAAAGCTTAACAAAACAAAGAAACAATCACTAAACTTTAACTAAATCAAGATTATGCTTTGATCGAACAATTTAAAACAATCCTTTTGGACAACCAATCTTGAAAACTTGTTATAGTTATGGCTTAAGAATTAATGTTAAAAACAGAAGGCATTAAAAATCTGGTGAAATGAGATATTTGAAAGAGAATTAAAGCTGAAACATGCCGTTAGGGAGCTTCCGAATTAATTTTTTTTTCAAAATAAATAAGTGAGAGTTTAAAAGATCCAAATTTCTTTTTTCGAATTCCGAGTCATAAAATTAAATTGGCATAGCCAGTGATTAAATAGTTATTTGATAAAATTCACCTGTAAACGATTATGTAAATAAGTACATATTTTAAAAAATAGAATTTGTACGTCGCTTCTTTTGAAATAAATATGTCACTTATTTTATCTGAAATCGAACGTCAAATCATTAATTCTGAAATCCATTTGTTTGGAATTGAGCTAGATGTTCAAAATCAATCTGAAAAATTTGATAAAAAAGTTTTCTTATTATGAGAACATTATTTGAATAAACAAATAATTATTATATAAAAATTTGAGTTAACAATTCATCTCTTTTTATTGACAAAAGATATTATACTGATTAAAGTTGATTAGTTGGTAACGTCATTACTTCTTTTCTTGGTTAACTGTTCTCTCCGAAGTTAAACAAGCCAATCACACAAGCAAAAATTTCATTAATAATGTGATTATAATTGACTAATGAGATTAATAAAATATTTTTTGTCATATGTTTGTTTAAATTTTCCCTCCTCCTCCCGCATCTGAACGCAAAATGTTGACGTAACCAACTATTCTACCTTGAGTAGCCTTATTTAAATCCGAAAATTATTAAAAGATTTATGTCCCAATAAATAAAATTTATTGCTCTGCAGAAAAATATATTTATGATCACCATTTCAAACGTTCAAACATTCAAACATGCTGCAAAGCTGATGTTTGATATTTCAACCCGAACAAACAGTTTAAAAATAGGTTAGGTTTGAATTTGGTTCAAATTTAAACCAAACTTAACCTATTTAAAGCCTCAGTTTGGGTTTGGGTTTATCGAAACCCTATATATTAAATATCTTATAAATTGTATAGTTAACATATCGAACCTCCTCAAAATATCCTTGAACCTTGTTACTGTAAATAATTTTTCACTTTTATTTTTATTTTTTATTTTTTATTTTTTTAAAGTATTACTAATTAATTATATTTATCAATTATTTTGAATCGGACTAAAATAATTATCAATTAGTTTAACAAATTTAATATAATACAATGCTCAGCTAACGACCAACATCATTCAACCTATTTTTAGTCTTTAAGATACAATTTAAATTATTATTTTTATTTATAAATTATAAAATAAATAAAACAGATTCAGTAATTGTATACATACCGAAGCTTTCAAACTCAGTAACATCGAGTTTAACTTGAGCAGAATCAGGTTGAGACAAATCTAAATAAACAAATAATAATTGTTAAATAAATTAATATAACATAATTTAATATATTAATTGAAAATAAATACCTTTAATCGCCTTTGAAATTAATTTTGTGCTAATAATTTTGCTTGTGTACATTTCATCAGGATGCTTTGATATCGGCAATATTTTAATAATTTTATCTGATTCTTTATCTGCTTCTAAGAATTGCTTTCTAATTTCATCACTAAAAAACCAATTCGTTATTGTATCAAAAACACTAAAAGCGCTAGGCCGTTCTTTTGGATCTGCATTCATACATCTTTCAGCCAATCCAATATAGCATTTAGGAGTTCCCGGTGCAAACTTTGGTCGCAATCCTCTACAAATATCCGCCCCAAGTTTAGCATTAAATTCACGTCCATCAAAAGGTCTTTGCCCACTTGAAATTTCTGCCATAATAATACCAAACCCATAAACATCTGCCGCTTGTGTAAATTGCTGCTCGCCTGATAAAACTTCTGGTGCAACATAGGGCATGACTCCAAAAATTTCGCCCTCTGAAACGTATTCATCTTTTTTTCTAGACAATCCTAGATCTGCAATATATGATTGTTGGTCTTGCAAAATATTACCACTATGAAAATCACCATGAATGTATTCTGCATATATGTGAATATTTTTTAACTCTGTTGAAATATCTTTAAGTATTTGCAATTTAGACAGCCATGTAATTTCTCTAAAATTTTTCCTTAAATATTTATAAAGATTCCCATTATTAGCATACTGAAATACCATCAAGTATTCATCTGTTTCTGTATTTTGGGTTATTCCATATATTGCGAGTTTAGTAGAATATAACTGTAATTTACATGTCATAAGACTTTTAAACTTAAAGTTTAAACAATAAATTAGTTCAATAAACTATTAGAAAAATTATTAAGGTAATAAATTATCTTACTTCTTTTAAAAAATCGAAATTGTTTTCTTTCGAACTGATCAACGTCTTGAGTGCAACGATGCTAGGTTTACGCGCTCTTTTATAATTATAATCATTACCATCAACCTTCCGTATTCCATCCAACCAGAGTGCTGAATATACTTTGCCAAATCCTCCTTTACCGATTTCTTCAATATCAACTAATCTGTCAAATGAAATCCATTCAATCACATCTTCATATGTAGAGGTTCTAATTTGGAACGTTTTAATGCAATCATCAATAATCATATTTCCAATTGTCCACTTTGTTGCTATGTCAGGGTCGCATGATAGACACCATGCGGGTTTCGTGTTATCTTCATTACAATGTGCACATGTTCCATATTTCGCATATCTATACAATTAATATATAATTTATGTTTCGCATCTGCGGATTAAAACTTTATATCGAATATAAATAATTTTTATATTTACCGACTAAATTAATACGAATGAAACAAGTTATACATAATGGCAAATAAGTATTTTTGTTCTTGTTTTGTTAACTTTGCCATTTATTTCTAGAAATTATTAAATGTTTTTATACTCACATGCTGAATAAATTGATTAATGCGAATGAAGTGATTTGTACTTAATATAAATATATTTATGTTCTTGTTTTGTTATTTTATTTCTAGAAATTATTAAATGTTCTTTATACTCACCGGCTAAATTAATGCGAATGAAATGATTTGTGCGTAATGATAAATAAGTATTTGTGTTCTTAGTTTTGTGAACTTGTTTTGTTGCTTTACTTCTAGAAAATTTCAATGTTCTTTATGCTTACCGACTAAATTAATATGAAATTATTTGTACGTAATAGTTGTTTTGTGAACTTGCTTTGCTTTTATTTCGAGAAATTATTAAATGTTCATTATACTCACAAACTAAATTAATACGAATAAATTGATTTGTACATAATGGCAAATAAGCACTTATGTTCTTGTCTTGTGGACTTGTTTTGCTGTTTTATTTCTAGAATTTATTAAATGTTCTTTTACTCACCCACTAAATTAATGCGAATGAAATTATTTGTACGTAATAAGTATTTATGTTCTTATTTTCTAAAAAAATTTTTTTTTTTTTTATTGTTTTATTTCTAGAAATTATTAAATGTTTTTTTATACTCACTCACTGAATAAAATGATTAACGTGAATGAAATGATTTGTAAGTAATGGCAAATAAGTAGTTTTGTTAACTTGCTTTGCTGTTTTTTATTTTTAGAAATTATTCTTGTCCTTTATACTCACGTGCTGAATGAAATGATTAATGCGAATGAAAATAATTTGTACGTAACGGTAAATAAGTATTTACATTCTTGTTTTGTGAACTTGTTTGCTGTTTTTATTAATGTTCTTTATACCCACCGACTAAATTAATACAATGAAATGATTTGTATGTAATGGTAAATTTGCTGTTTTTATTCCGAAAATCAATAAATGTTCTTTATACTCACATGCTGAATGAAATGATCAATGCGAATGAAATGATTTACACGTAATAGTAAATATTTATTCATTTTCTTGTTTCGCGAACTGGTTTTTATTTATAGAATTATTAAGTGTCCTTATACTTACGGGCTAAAATAACACAAACAAGAAATATTTATGTGCTT